ACACACACACCCTGGGGCCAGGCGGCAGCATCCTTACCTACATCTGAATAATCCGCAAGAAAATTGTGGGTAGCAGAAACCATTCAGACAAATAAATCAAGAGCTCATAAGAGTCCATCTGCCACAGAAAATGAAGAGTGAGTGTTCCAAGGTGTAGCTGTTTGAAATGGCCATTTGTGTTTTTCCTGGTGTAGTGAAACTTTGTTTTCTCATCTGGTTTAGAGAAATGGGGGAAATGTGTTACTGGCTGCCATCTAGAGTGATAAAACGTGAATTTGCATAAAAAGAGGATGGTTTCGATTTGATACTCATTCCAGAGTGATACTGAGATAGATTAGCAAAAGTATCTGGTGAATGACACACGCTGGGCATTTTAATTTCTTTTCAAATGTACACATTGTTGTAATTTGCCACTCTAGAACCTTCCTCCTACATCTTAAAAACTCTCCAAAGTTCATATAGTAATGGAAAAGCTAATTTTGTTGGGGGGAATTTCTCTAGCCTGAATTGGTTAAAGGAAATCAACATAATAATTATAATCATAAAAAATTTAGTCGAAGAAGTTGAGTCCAAAAGAGGTTAAGCCTTTTACCAGAGAAGTTTGAAAAATTAGAGCTAAATATTTCATCATTCAGCACCTTATAAGAACCAGTGTTACATTCTCCTCACTAAAAATGGTAATACCACTTATTGCTATTGCATAACCTCATAAATAGAAGGCCATAGTTGTGGCTGGAATATGAATGGTCTATCTCACTTTTTCACACACCAATCAGAAAGCCCTGTCCTCATTAGCAAACCTTTGTCACGAAATGACTGTCTCCTTATCTGTTCAGTCACAGCAGAAAGAGTCCTGAAGGATGGAAAGGGAATGAACATGGAAGTTTGGATATCATTGACACACTACAAATTCTAATCCTCTCATACAACTGGGAAAAAAAAACCCACAACCCAGCAGTGGTGACTGGCTTGATTATGTAGGACTAAGAAAAATTAAGGATTGGAAAACTATGTTTATTCTCTCCTTTCCAAAGGCCTTAGGAAGTGAAATTCTAAGAATCAAAGAAAGGGATGCCTCTCAGGACCACAGATAGCTGAGGAGTGTGTGATACATACTGAGGCTTATTGGAACAGACTGATGTTACAACTAGAGAGAAGTCTACCAAGAGGTGCCTTGAAGCTCAGAAGCTTGTGCCCTGTGCTTCTAAGAAAGGTGATACGTCCTCTGTGGTGGGCTGGCAGGAGCTGGTGGGGGAAAATGAGTCTTTTAGGGGATGGGACTTAGAGTCCTAAGAATTTAGTACAGGAAACAATAAAAACTATTCATCTCCAGAATATCATGTGAAGACCAAAATTCATCTTCCCAACCCCCATGCTGACCCACCTTGTGGGTCCAAGAGGATGGGGAACTTGATGCCACCATGGATCATATTAAGCTATTTCCACCCTGCTGGGCTGTGGGCACGTTTTGGTCGATGATCGTGTCTGACTTCTTCCCCAGTGCCTAGTTCAGTGCCATGCATGCAGTTACCACGTGGATATAACTTAAGGAGCATCGCTGAGCCAGTTTTTTATAGGACTTAGTTCTGGGAGGGAACAAAATGAAGGAACCCTCTGCCAGTATGTGGAGTGTCCTCTATATTGGATCAAAGTCAAGCAGTACTGCTGGGCACTACATTTATAAGCACTGCTATTTTAAGAAGAATGCTGCTGGTAGGTAGCTTTTATTGAAAGCCTTTTATGGGCCAAACACTGTGTTAAGTAATTTCTAATCATCGTGACCCAGTCAGGTATGTACTGTCCTCATCCCAATTTTACAAATGCAGAAACTGAGCTCAGAGAGGTTAAGTAGCTTGCCCAAGGTCACAGAGCCACTAAGTGGCATAGAATGTTCAGGTCCATTAGAGAATCTATACCTTTTACCAATGTGCAATATTCTTCCTGGTGAGTAAGAACTATGAGCCTCACCTTCACCCAGAAGAAAACTGAATTTAGGAGTGAATTCTGAGCATTTCTACCAGAATTTTCCAAAAGTGGTTTCAGGACTAGATGCTAAGTGACTGCTCCTAAGGGATATTTACAATCATAATCATGGTAGAATTTGCATAATTATGCTGCTAAATATATGCATGCCATTTAAAATATAACTGTCCTAGCTAATACATTAGCACAATTATGCAGAAATAAGGAAAGAATATAGAGAACATTCTTGGTAGATTTTATTTTCAATGAATGTGAGTACTTACTATGTCAATAAAATGTTTTAAAAACAAGAACATGAAACAATTACTGAAGCACAAAATTATAGTCCATTGTTTCACCTGTACCGTGATGTTATTTTTAGATATATTTAATCTGTGGAAGTATTTTTAAAGAGTCTTCAACCCCTAAACGTCTAACTTGATGAGTATAGGGTCTTATAAAGTGCCAAACCAATTTCTGTTGCAGTTTTGTGATGTTAAAAAGCAAATAAGTCTGAGGGTACTTTTTATATAAAACTCTGAAGTGAACTTTTACATCTAAGATGTGCAGCTACAAAAACACAGGAGGGAGACTGAGAACTCTGCTTTTGGGCATGGCTGGATTCAGATGCTGTTCAGAAGAGCACTCTATGAAATAGCCCACATAACTGCAAGATGTTTGAAATCACAGAGAAAAAAATCCTTTCCCATCCGTACTCGGGAAACTTCCCATGGTAACTTTTTTTTTTTTAAGGGCACATGATTTTATAACAGCCCTATTGACTTGAAAATGAGTTTAAAGTAATTTCATATGCCTTGATTTAATAAATTTGGCATCTCTTTTCTTATAAAGATGTTTCCACAAAGCACTGAGAAATGACAAATTATACATAGAAGATCTGGAAAAAATAGTTTATATAGGAGAACATATATGTTGGTGGGGCTCTCCTCCCAAGATGGTCATGGTCTTTGGGGTAGAGGAGCAGATTAAAACTGCTTTGACCTTCAGGATAGCAATTCTTGTGTCTGAGCTTCTAGAAAGAAAAGAAAATGATCTTAGGTGATGAGGTGGCTTTATTCAGATGACTTCCCTTCAGCTGGGGCCCCAAGAAGACAGGGTCCCTGTGCCTGTTGGGGAGTGCCGAGGGAGACGATGCGTGACATGACTTAGTGCACGAGGCTCTCCCTTCCCTTGGTTATAAAATTACTTCACTAAATAGCATCATTATTTCTATTCATGGCACATAAAATAGCCCTTAAGAATTATAAAATTCTAGGACATTTATGTTTTGCTATCTTCTCTTTATAGTTTGGATCACATAATGTGCAATATCTTTATTGAAATAACACTCAAAATTCAAGGGTGCTCATTTCAAAGTGACTGGTAGCTCTCCTTCCAAATGTATAATAGATTCCTCCCAATGTAATATTTTTCAAAACATGGTAAACTTGAACTAAGATCATATCTGGCTGTTCTGCACCTATGGTAGCTAAATTCAACAAACTAGTCAAGAATCCACAGAGGAGCAAATTCTTGCCCTGTCTGGACATGTATATCTGGAGAAAGAAAAGCCACAGGAGATCCCACTGTGATTTCTGAAACATCGCACATTTAAAGAAACAGAATCTCTTGCCTTGGGCCAATTAGAAAGAAGGGAAAAGAAAAATTCTGTGTACAGAAGGAAGCCTGCGTACTAACTGGTAGCTTGTATCTGTTCTTAATCGTTTTACATCATTTTCTTGTTTTACGAGGATTAAGTGTTACTGCGTTGGTAGCCTTGAGGAGTGGGATGCACCCTTGGTTTAGCAGTTGATTGAGTGAAAGTCTAAATTCAGATTTATGTCATTTAAACATGCTCACAGTGACTGACAGACATTTGAAGATTTTCTAAACTGTGCTTTGGCCTGCTACAGAGGTGAGTCTGAATGATGAAAATAGAATGATTGATTTTGTCTTTTTCCTGCGGGTGTCGTCAGAAGTGAGCCACATCAGAGATGTCCCAAGTTGTGAGACTTGGCATCTTTCTAAAGC